ATAAAGGTTCAAGGCTGGCATTCTGATCACTTCAACCTTTTTCTCGATTAATTATAAGAGTCTCAGTGACTTTTCTGCTCAGGCTAGCCAAGCCATGCTCCTTAGATCTGAGCCTCCTGAGTAGCTAGGATTACAGGTGTGAGCCACAGGACTTGGTGTTGGGGCCTCTTACTGTACAGTCCGTTGTTCACTCTGGTCCTCCATCCTTGGAGGATAGCTGTTAAGGGAGGTTTCCATGTGAATGTCCTGAGCTTCTTCCTCATCTGCTTATGGCCCTTACTCTGTAGCTTATCCATGGCTGCCCAGCCAAGCAAACTCTGTAAAAGCTGGAATCACCTCCAGATTTCTCCCTCACTGCCCCTCTAGTCCCTTCCCTCCTACACACATAGACTGTGTGCCAGGAAGGCTGCACCTTCTGTTCCCTCATCCTCCAGGCCTACTGCTCCAGCCACTATTACACCTCAGCTCGGGCCCAGACCTACCTTTGCCTCCTGCCTGCATCCTCCTAGCTGCCGTGTTTATGTCCATGTTTATGTCCTGCTTTGTCTCTGTCTCTCTCTTCCTAAATGCTCCTTAGCTTCTCCAGAAATCAGTCTGTAGTGGCATTCACTCCCTCCTTGGAATTTGACTATCAGGAAGACTGATATTATATCATTTGCAGGGAAATGGATAGACCCAGAAAAATATATGCCAAGTGAAGTAACTCAAGCTCAGAGAAACAAACAGCACATTTTCTGTCATTGTTGGACGTTAGATCTAAGCCATAAACATATATGAAAATATCTACTGGGTTATATGCACATATACACAAACAAGTAGACTAAACTCTGGGATATTCGGGGGAGGATTCCAATGATAACTCTTAACAAAATGAATACCAGGAAGCTGAAACATACTTTGTCAGGGTTAGCTTACGAGGAAGAGAAGGCAGATGAATGGAGAGAGGAAAGGACAGGTGAATACAGTCATTACATTTAATGTACATAAGTGAAAATGGAACTTGGTAATAAGGATGTAGATGGGGGTGGGAAAGATGGAGGAGAACCATGGAAAGGTTTATAAGTACTTATAAACTGACTTGTTGAATTAAAACCTCTTCATATAACTGCTTAAAGGTATTTTTTTTTTTTGTGCTAGCCCTGCGGCTTGAACTCAGAGTCTAGTTATTGTGCCTGAGCTTTTTTTGCTCAAAGCTAGCACTGTACCATTTGAGCCACTGCTTTATTTCTGGCTTTTTGTTTTGGTGCTTAATTGGAGTTTCATAGACTTTCCTGCTTGGGCTAGCTTTGAACTAGGATCTTCAGATCTCAGCCTCCTGTGTAGCTATGATTATAGGTATGAGCCACCAGCACCTTGCATTCAACATAACTTTAACTTATGGTTCACAGCAGACAGAGTGACTCCTGTCTGTTGAACAAATAAAAATAGGATGTATAATGATACCGATAACTGTTGATTCATACAGCACTTAGCATACACCACCTCACCCTGTCTAAACATGATACCTGCTAGGTGATTGCCACGCACTGTGGGCTGCTTCTGTGTTGGCCCTCATGTGATTGACAGGACCTTCCATCCTTTGCCTTAGCAGTAATTTCCCATGATGGTGGATAGAGTTGCTTGCTACTCAGCGAGTCTGCAGGTTCAGGGATCGGTGGACTCGTCTCCAGAGCGTGAAGGAAAGGCAGCTGTGTCTCCATCTCCTGTTGCTGGGCAGCATGCCTTGGATTCCCTTCCCTCAGCCACTGTGGATTACCATCAAAGTCTGTAATAAGAAGCAGACAAATTGGCCTTGGGCTGTGCATCCTGGAGCTTAAGGCCCCCGTCCTGTGAACCTGGAATTAAACCTGGAAAGCTCCAGGGAGGGGCAGCCTTTGGAGGCCACAGCTGTGCTGGGAAACTGAAGCATGTTTTGTAAGTAGGTCATAGGAAAGAAAGTGAGGCCCCAAGGTTTTCTCCCACAGAGTGTGAGAACAAAAGGTCTTCTAAGCATCCTGGTGAGAATCTGAGCGCCAGAATATGGCTATGGGAACTTTGGCCAGAGTGGCAGAGCCACTGTGCCAGGTTTGATTCTTCTCTCCTGGATTTTATGCTGGGTACTGACAGACATCATCATTATTGTCATTGATTAGCATGGCCAGCGATGCCAAGGGGCCCCAGGTTTGGGCACCATTTCATTCCTTCCCACAGTGTCCCTCAAAGTAGGGGATCTTGATGGTGATCTTCTAGATTTTGCTTGGTGTCTGTAACAGGAGTTATAGGAAGACTTTGGGAGGACAAATCAAGAGAACAGAAATGAAAATTGAATCCTGAATCCCAAGGCACAGTTATGTTCCCTGCATGGTGACTGGGGTTCTTTGCCACCTCCCAGGAACCAGAGAAGGTAGTTGATTAGTGTTACTTAAATGCACTGCAATTAACTCCTCCAGTTTTCTTGTGCCCTGGGGTTTAGGCCAGTCAATAAATCCTAGTCCCAGGTTAGTTGTAAAACCTTGATTTATCTTTCTATCTAGGTATGCTAACATATTCACTGGCTTGAATTATTTAAAGTTATCAAGGAAAAGGTCTGATTTCTATTGCCTGCCCTGATTTGCACTTTAAATAGTACTGTCTGTCTCAAGTTGCCAGAATTCATGTTGGAAAAAAGAAAAGAGAGAATTACTTTTAAATAGCAGTTTGGTACATAAAATCGTGATTTACCTTGGATTGTTTCTCCAACTGTACATTAAAGGTATAAAGTCCAGGTTTTCAAGACTCTGCTAAATCTGGAGATTAGCATGAAATCAAACAGTAAACCTTGAGTTCTAGAGTGTTGTCTTCTGCGACCTTTGCCATCTCTTCCTCTCTCATTTACTAGCCTATAGCTATTGATTTATGCATAATCCATAGCTATGCACAACAGCAAGCTTGTGTGCTTGTTTTTCTTTTAATGTCCAAGAAAAATTAAGTCTTTTATCTATGTGCATGCAAATATAGGTCAGTTCATGTGGACATGAAACTATCAATTTGGTAAGAACATCTAGAATGAAAATCACGTGGAAGTACATACATGCATATATATTTATATAAATATACTCCTTATACTGCTTTGCTTAAGACCACAGAAATTTTAAAAAAGAGCAGTGACATATCTCTTCCCACTGTATGAAAATCAAAACTAAGAAGAATTCAAAGGTACTAAGACTTACACATACACTTTGGTAGTTATGATCAAACAAATCACTACCGAATGAATCTTAGAATTGTTGAAGGTGACCTCCATTTCTTACTTGCTTCCTTTTTTTTTCACTTTCCTCATCTATTCATACTCCTTTAATTTCATGAAGCCTCGAGTTAGTTGGTAGGAATCCTGAAAATGATTTGTTATTTTAAGATTATGAGTGATATAACATACTCTTTGTCTTCAGAACACATTTGGGAAACTGGAGGCTCAAGTGGTAGAGCACCAGCCATGAGTGAAAAAAGCTAATGCTATCCCAGTGTGTCTTGATTTCAACAAGCAAGATTTGTCACATTGGCAAATGGTATTAGCTGCTTGCTTATGATAAGCAATGCACTGATACCTTTCAAAACCAGCAGAGGAGAGACTATATGTGATCTTAGGTATTAGTGAACTCATTCTGTGTACTTTGTTCTTGGGGCCAGCAGTCAGTAAAGCTATATTCCTGGTCTTGTGTAGCTTATAGTTCATTAATATATAAATAATAGACAAATAACCACATTATGTCAGGTGGTAATAGATGCTCTGATGGGAAGGAAAGCATCTTGCGGGGGATAAGCCATTCTAGACTTGGGAATTTGCTAATTTAGATGAGACTGTCTCTGGGATGGCTCATCTACCATCTAAATTCCACCCAGACTTCCTATGACTTGCATTTCAATTTTGTCCTGCCATTTGAAATGTCATTTTGGAAATGGAAACAATTAAACCATGTTAGTCATTTGCTTTTCAGTGTGAATATGTTTTAGATTACTTCCTTTGAGCAGATGTTAATGGAGAACTTGAGGCAGTGGATATCTGGGGCTGTGGGTGGGCTGGGGAAGGATGAGGTAGAAGGAAGTGAAGTTTCTGCTTTTGAGAGGGTCTCCTCTGTCTCTCAGGAGCCCTGCTAGAGTCCTCCTTGTGGTCTGTGGTTACCCTCCAGTATCTTCTCTCCAGGCCTCTCAGTGTGTTCCTGCTTCAAAGCTTAGCCCTTTCCTCCTGGGCATGCTAATTGGAGGAGGCCAACCCTTTGCAAATGCTCTCTAAGCATTTCTTTAGGAGAAATGTGCTTAAAGTATTGTTTTGTTTGTTAACCTTCCTGACTGTTTGGCTTTTCATTTGGCTTTATGTTTTCCAAGTGTTGTTACTCTCATATTGTTACTGTTATTATTTTTTAATGGCTAGGCTAAATGTATCTCCAGGGAGATACTTATTTGAGGTTCGTACTCAAAACCTTAAATCACTGGGAATGGGGAATGATTTTAATTCCGCTGGCTCTCCTGCCCAGACACTTTAGTAGAGTTCTGTAAATTCTACTCAGGATCCAAAGCATTGGCATTACACGTTAGATTCCATAGTTCCTAAGAGCAAGCTTGCTCCAAATGTAGCTCTGTTGTACTCCAGGCTTTGGTAGTGATGCTGGGAATTTGTGCTTGTTTTTTTTTTTTTTTTTTTTCATTCTCCGGAATTCAAATCAAGGATTCAGTGAGATACTTTGCATTTGTCTTTGCTTTGTGGATTATATCTGCAGCACAAATGGTATACATAGACTTTTTTCCCCCCTTTGGTATAGAATTATTTTTGATTGGGAGCCCAAGCGTGGTGACTTTGCATTGCGGAATAATCTGAAAGTCAGAGATGAAGAGAAGTAGTAATACTAGTTTGTAGCAATGCAGTTGCTTAAAAGGGAGCAAATATGTTCTGTTCATTTTTTTCTCATTATAAGCAAAACTGTTAAATGTGAGAATGGACCCAAATTGTTAATATTAAAATGTTCCTTTTTTCACCCCCTTTCTAGCTTTTGCTTTGGTATCTGAAGATACAAAGAAAGAGGTCCAGCGGTCTCAGGTACTAATTCTAATGTTGTCATCTGTCCTCCCTTTGAATTCCTTTATTTTTGAGAGACTCTTGAAGGTTTCATCTTTCAGTAGTTAATGTGGGGCTAGGTGCTGGTGGTTCATGCTCATAATGCTAGCTGCTGTTGAGGCTGAGATCTAAGGATTGTGGTTCAAAGCCAGCCCAAACATGAAAGTCTAAGAGACTGATCTCCATTTAACTACAAAAAAGACAGAAGTAGAGGTGTGGTTCAAGTGGTAGAGCACTAGATTTGAGCATACAAACCCAGGTACAGCACCCAGGCCCTAAGTTCAAGCCTTTCAAGCCTTAGTACTAGTACCAGAATAATAACAACAAAATAATAAGTTAATGTGTATTTTTTCTGTTGTTTATATGAATTAACACCATATTGGTCAACATGGATTTTGAATCCCTATCAGAAACCTATATAGTTAACTTTAAAAGTATCTTTAATAGTTAAAGTAGATCCATGAGGGTGTAATAGTCCTTTTAACATAAAAAATGTTTTGATATGGAGGTAGACATTTTAGAAATACTTCTTGGTGTGCTAGTCATATATTTTTTTTTTGGTCACTGTGAAAAAGCACTTGATATAAACAACTTAAGGGAGAAAACTTTATTTTGGGTGACAGTTTCTGAGGCTTCAGCCCATCATGGCTGGAAGGTGTTGGCCCAGCAGAGCTGCTCACGTCATGGTTGCCAGGAAGGAGTGGCAGATAGAGGGAGAGGAAAGGCAGAAGGAGAGGGAAAAAAGGGAGGGAAAGGAAGTGGGACAGACAGAGAGGAGAGACACAGAAGAAGGGTGAAAGAGTTGGAGGGGAAGGAAGGCAAAGAGAGAAGAACAGAGAGAAGAAAAGAAAGAGAAGAGAAGGGAGGAGAGGGAAAGGAGAGAGGGAGGGATAGGGAGAGGTATAGAGAAAGGGAGAGAAGAGGGGGAGAAGGGAGAGAGACAGAGATACAGGGAGGGACGGGGTGGGGGGAAGGGAGGACAGAAACAGAAATAGAGACACAGAGAGAAAGAGGACCATGGGAGGAGGGAGAGGGAGAGAAGGAGGGGACCATGGGAGGAGGGAGGGGAAGAGACAGAGGTAGAAGAACAAGGACAGGGAGAGGGACAGAGAGGGAAGGAAAAAGATAGAAAGGGAGAGAGAAGGGTTGAGGCCTGTGCTCTCAGGCTTTCCCTTTTTCCCGCCTGTGGGGCGCAGCCCACGTGGATGGCAGGTTTTCTTCTTCTAGTCAGTCTTATGTGTGGTTTACCATTCTCCTAGGTACTTCCTCAGTCCAAACAAGTTGACAGGCAAGACTAGCCACCACATGCAGAGGTCACGGTTTTCTCCACCACATGCAGAGGTCACGGTTTTCTCCAGGCTTACCCTATGTAGCTCTCAGCTTGGTTTTCCCTACCTGTGAAAGGATTTTCTAGGTCAGAGGAGTCTCAAGGGTCCAGTTTCTGTGACCTTGTAGGTGGGCGACAGGAAGGCATGCTGGGGACCAGGTGGGAGACTCTGGTGCTGGCCATACTGCCAGATTCTTCTTCTGCTCAAGGCCTGGGAGGCAGGAGGAGCCAGGCAGTGTAATTTCAAATCTCAGAGCTTTTCATCATTATGTCCATGAACTAAACATATCCTTTTTTTTAAGTTTAAACTATTTGGGCTTTGCATGGGATCAGTGTAGCATGGGAGAGAGAGAAAAAGTATTCCAAAATATGACTTGCTCTTCTCATATTAACCAAGGCTCTATTGAGTTCTATAAATAGTGCAACAGTATTTCTTTTTTTTTGTACATTTTTCAATTAACATCAATTAATTGTACTGAGGGGGTTTCATTTTGACATGTCTGTATATGCATACAAAGAATCTTGATCAGACTCACCCCCTCCATCACTCTTCCTCTCCTCCCTTCCCAAACCAATCTCAACAAGTGCTATGGTTCCATTTTTACACATGGACATAAAGGATTTTGATTGAATTCCCTTTCTTTTACCCTCTCCATTTGACCTGCCCTCTCTCATTTGTATCTCTTATTCCAAACAAGGCCAATTCTTTTCTTTTTTGTCAGTACTGGAGCTTGAACTCAGGGCCTAAAGCTTGCTTGGCAGGTGTTCTACCACTGGAATCATATCTGCATCCCTGTTAAGGCCCTTTCTTTTCAAGATAGGATCATGTAAACTTTTCTGCCTATGTTAACCTCAAACCTCAGCCCTTCAGCTCTCATCCTTGAGCAGCTGGGAATATGGGCATGAGCCACTGATGCTGTCAAGACTCATTTATTAATAGAATGTTTCTTTTACAAACCGCGTTCTCTGCTCTGACTATATTATGAGATCCTTCCACAGAGGAAATGATAATAACAATTTCTTTTGATTTTAAGATTATGGCTAATAAAGCATTTTTGTGGATCTCATTTAATTTCATCTTATCAGTGTTGCTTAAGCAAAAGGGATATTCCAAGTTATGACAGAGAAAACTTAGACTTGGAAATGTTAAGTGATTTTTACCAAGGTCAAGGATTACTAAAAGATGAAGTTTAAATTTTTTGATTACTTACATATTCACCTTGTACTATTCTATTATTACGTCATTGAGCGTGTTTGGCAAGGCTGAGGATTACTGATGATGAATTTAAGATGCTGCCTAAGGGTTATTAACAGAATGCAAATTTTGCTTATTGAATTTAGGAATTATAGTATGAGCTTTCGCAGCCTGCTGTGTAGCTAAGATTACAGGTATGAGCCACCTGTGCCAGCTTTGTTCTTCTGTGTCTGTCTGTCTGTCTGTCTTGTCTGTCTGTCTGTCTTTCTCTCTCTCTCTCTTTTTATAGTTTTTGCTGATCCTGAGCTTGAACTCAGGGCCTGAGCTCTGACATCTGAGCTTCTTTTTGCTTAAGGCTAGTGCTCTACCACTGGAGCCACAGCAACACTGCCAGCTTCTTTGAGTAGTTTATTGGAGATAAGAGTCTCACGGACTTTCCTTCCCCTGGCACCTTGAACCACAATCCTCAGATCTCAGCCTCTTGAGTAGCTAAGATTATAGGCATGAGCCATCAGCACCTGGCTCTGTTATCTCTATTTTATACAGGAGAAATCAAGACCTGAGCTAATAAGTACCAGGGACAGAAATAAGAATGCAGAACTAGTTCACATCTGAGTGCACAGAGGAAAACACATCTGGATCAATGTATTTTGAATTGAGAAGGGTGGTAGTGACAGGAAGAGAAGATGGAATTCTGCTTCTTGTCTGAGATTTCACATCAGATTTTTCTGAGGGTGTTCTGTTCTTTTGTGTGTGTGTGTGTGTGTGTGTGACGAACTTGCACACTAAGCATTAGACATGTATATTGCAAGTATTCAAATCTCTCTTTGCTTAAAAAATGAATGTTGGTAACTCATGCCTGTAATTGCAGCTTCTCAGGAGGCTGAGACCAGAGAAATTGAGTTTTGAAACCTGCCTGAGCAGAAAGTCTGTGACACTCTCATCACCAAAAAACAGCCAAAAACTGAGAATGGAAGTGTGGCTTGAGTGTCAGAGTACCAGCCTTGAGTTTAAAAGCTTAAGTGAGAGTGAGAGGTCTTAAGTTCAAGCCCCAGTACTAGCACAAAAAACAAGCAAAACCCATGTGATGTGTGACTTAGCTGTGTCTTTTCCTATGGGCAAAGCTCTCTGGGGTAGTTGCATTCACAACAGATCTTTATCCTACCTGCACAGTAATTCATTTGATTTAAACAACCTTACCCACGAGCATTTTGATTAATATTGATAGTCTGTGTAAGAAGCTTGTCAGCAGAGACAATAAAACAGACCATGTGTTGTTTCTTTCAGAAAGAGCCAAGCCTAGTCACCAGGGAAGTGAAGACACAGTTTGAAATGTTCTATCCATTTCTTCATTTAGTCTCATTTTCTTTCTCAAAGATGAGATTACTCAAGACTGTTTTGGTTCCATATAAATTCACCTAATTCATCTCCTCTGTGGACATTTTATGTTTTACAGTTTACAAATGGAGTCATTTGAAATAGCTAAGCATTTTCTTTTCCTAGCTATTGTGTTAGCCAGTGTGAGCTTTTGTGCTTCCTAACAACTCGAATGAAACATGGTCTTGGTTGGTTTGCTTTGCTTCCCACGGAATCATGGTGAGCTCCTTGTAGTTCTTCATCTTTTAGCTAGTTGAGGTAGGTGTTCTTACTGCATCAGATGTTACTTTCAGCAGAGTGCCGTTGGGAAACCTAGGTGGACATTAGCCAGTATTATTGGAAAGGAGCATTGCAAAAGAGCATTTGTCATGGTTTTATGGCTACTGGCTGAAGTGCCCTGGGAAATCCTTTTAACTTTTGGACATTATTTTTTTGTGAAAGGAAGTGTTGGGTTTAGTGAAGTTTAATTTTTCCTCTTTTGAAAAAAAAAAACAAACCTTAGCTGTACTAGGATTTGAACTCAGAGCCTTGTGCTCTGTCACTTGAGCCATGTCCTTCTTTCTTTGCTTTTTGAATAGGGTCTCACTTTCATGCCCCAAACCGGAGTAGATCATGATTCTCCTATTTATGACAGGCATGTGCCCAGCTTTTATTGGTTGAGGTGGTATCTTGTGTTTGCACTGGCCTTGACTTGAGGTCCTCCTGATCTCAGGTATGAGCCACTTCATGTGGCCCCTAGTGTAGTTTTTGATACACATTCTATTTTTCTTTGAACCTTGGTTGGCAGCTGAATCTGTGGCCTTCTGAGAAGAAGAAAGCAGTTTGACTAAGGGGCAGGAAGTAGATAAATGTGGGAGCTAGCTGTGCCCTGGTACCAGGACAAGAGCAGCATGTGATGCATAGATGATTTCGTCCACTCATGCCACTTTATGGTGAGAACCTGGTTTGCGCTCAGTACATTCAGAGAAGTGGATTGAGCTATCTAGTCATTTTTAGTCAGTTCCTCTAAAACTTGCTTGTTTTAGCTGGGTTAAGTGAAGTGTCATTTGACCCTTAGCTATAATGCCTATGGGTTCTCCACTACAGAGTGGCATCTCTCTCTCTCTCTCTCTTTCTTTCTTGTGCTAGTGTTGTGTCTTGAACTGGGGCTTGAACTCAGGGTTTCCTTTGGGTTTTTGCTCAAGTAGTGCTCTACTACTTGAGTCACATCTCAACTTCTGTCTTTTGGTGGTTTCTTGGAGATAAGAATCTTACTGACTTTTCTGCCTAAGCTGTCTTCATCAAACCACAATCCTTAGAATATTGGTGTGAGCCTAGCTCAGCGATAATTCTAATAATGAGACAAAGTCATTTTATAAAATGCTACCCAAGGTAGTCACCTTAGGTGTGTTTAGCTCCTTTCTTCCTGTCAGTTATCATGTCCCTGTCCCTTTGTCATTTCTAGAGGATACATCTTTTTGTGGCTATATCTTGACTTTCAAGCTGCTCCCAATTTTGTTGGTAAAGCCTTCCAACTACATTTCTTATTATAGTCTGTGAAGGAAATTGAAGTATATTTGCCTCCATCCAATTGGCATAATTATAGCATGTGGCTGTTGAAATGGAAGAAGGAAATTAGACAACTCTATCGTAGTGTGGGGAGATCATGAACATGGTACGTTTAGTTGCAGCCATCTTGAACTTTGCTGGGATATCTTTTAGAGTTCACCTCAGAATCATACAGTGCCAGAATCAGATATTTCTGTACCCTCGTCCAGATTTCTGTGACTAGAGCTGGGCAGCTGTCAGGAGCTCTTTGCTCATGAGTTCTAGTGACCAAGTATGTTACTATAGTAGAATTACTGAGACAGAGTGACTTACAAAGAACTGAGAGTTCTTCATTTTCCTTCTTAATTTCTCCCTCCCTCCCTCCCTCCTTCCTCCCTCCCTTCCTCCTTCCCCCTCTCCTCCACACTGTGCCATGGTACCGAGCTGAACTTTATTTTATAACAAATTAACTCTTTTGATCACGAACCCATTCCCTCTATAACAACATGAGTACAAGTCATTACAGCTGAGCACTTGTATCTAAGGTTTTACCTTTCAGTACTATAGAATAGTGGGTAAAGTTTTCAACACATGCTGTTCAGAGCGTGCATTCAGACCACAGCAGCCACTATCATCTGAGCTCCATATCCCTGTGCAGGGCCCCAGGGCTGCTTCCCAGGAAGGAGAGATCATGGTGCTAATATTCTGAGTGACAGTATATCTGAGCTCAAAAGACAACTGAATTACTAAGACTAAATGATTCATACTTAGTTACTACTGCATACAGTAACTAAAAGAGTGCCTCATGAGTAAAACCTTCCAGCATTGAGACTGCCATGTTTGCAATGTTTTGGGGATGGTGGGGTTTTCAGAATCCATGAACATTATTTTACATAGGAAGATCTTCAGCACTGTTAAGTGACTGGTCCAAGATGAGATAAGAAAGATGCAGCCCCATCTTTGAGTTTCTGTTACAGTGTACAAGTATATCACTGCTGTCTCCCCCTTCCATTTAGGTCTGATTCCTTTAGAGAAAAGCATTTCCAGGTTTCCATCATTCAGTCTTCCCTCCAACTGTAAATACATAGCATATATACTTAGCTGTATTGCTACCTCTGTTATGTGATGAGACTTATCTTTATCTCTTTCATTTCAAATACAGGATTTGGAGAAAAGTACTAATGAAATTAAAAGGAAAAATGACATAGGTAAGTATTAATTTATTATTATTATTGTTGTTGTTGTTATAGCTCAGTCTGGGATGAACTTAGAGCCTCACACTTGCCCAGCTGGTGCTCTACCACTTGAGTTATGCCTCTGACTCTGCTTTTTTATCCTGTGGCTTGAACTCAGGGCTTGGGTTCTTTCCATTAGTTTGCATTAATATATATTTTTATTGTAAAGATACTGGACAGAGGGGTGACAGTTGCATAAGTAAGGTAATAAGTACATTTCCTATCGAGCATTGTTATCCCCTCCTTGGTTTTCCCCCTATTATCCCTTCCTTCCCCACCTCCCTAACTCCTCCTTTCCCTCCTCACCCCACACCCCCAAGTTGTAAAGTTCATTTTCAACATAGTGTGTTGCACATCTCATTGCTACAGTGGGTCAACTTGTGTTCTTGTTTCAGCATTTTGTTGTTTCCCTTCCCCTCCCCAAATTAGAAAAATATGTACAAGATGCAGGGCACTGGAATCAAATATGGTGAAAACAGGGGTTATACCATGGGGAAGAACATACAAAAAAATCACATAGTACATTATGAGTACATTAGAAACAACAGCAACAAAGATAAAAACCTCTGTGTCCCTTTCTTGGAGTTCATTTTGCTTGGCATCATCTTATATGGTCATATGTACATACCCTTTGACCTTTTCTGCTTGTCCTAGACATATACTAGATATTGCAAATAAGGGAAACCATGGGACCTGTTTCTTTGGGCCTGATTTACTTTACTTAATATAATTTTTTCCAAGTCTTTCCATTTCCTAACAAATGGGGCAGTGTCATTCTTTCTGAAGGAGGCATAGAATATATATATATATATATATATATATATATATGAGATATGTGTGTGTGTATATATATATACAGTATATACAGATACCACATTTTCTTTTTTGGGGGGGGTTTAGGAAGATAAATCTTTATATTAAATACATGGCTTTTTTATTGTGAAAACACTGTACAGATGGGTTACAATTACATAGGCAAGATAATGAGTACATTTCTTATCAAGCATTGTAGCCTCCTCCTTTGTTTCCCCTTCCCATCCCACATACCACATTTTCTTGATCCGTTTATCTACTGAGGGGCATCTGGGTTGGTTCCATATCTTAGGTATGATAAATAATGCTGCAATAAACATAGTTGTGCTGGTAGCTTTAGTGTGGTCTTGTTTGTGATCATTTGGGTAAATGCCCAAAAGTAGGATTGATGGGTCATAGGGGAGCTCTATGTGGAGTCTTTTGAGGAACCTCTATACTACTGTCCAAAGTGGTTGAACAAGTTTACACTCCCACCAACAATGCAGTAGGGATCCCTTTTGGCCACATCCCCTCCAGCATCTGTTGTTATTAGATTTCTTGATTCTAGCCATTCTAACGGGAGTGAGGTAGTATATCAATGTTGTTTTGATTTGCATTTCTTTTATGGCTAGAGAGGTTGAGCATTTTTGCATGTGTCTATTGGCCATTCTTATTTCCTCTTCAGAGAAGTCTTTCTTTAAGTCTTTAGCCCATGTATTAATCACGCAGTTGTTTCTTTGAGGATTTGTTGTTGGGGGATTTAATTTTTTGAGTTCTAAGTATATTTTAGATATGAGACCCTTGTCCGTTGTATGGCTAGTAAAGATCTTCTCCCAATCTCTGGGCTTTCTATTGATCTTGCTAGATATGTCCTTTGCCATGCAGAAGCTCTGCAATTTCATGCAATCCCATTTCCCCAACCTTTCTTTGATTTGTTGTGTTTCTGGGTCTCTATTAAAAAAATTTCAGACTGTGCCAAGGAGCCCTAGGGTTTCTCCTACTCCGTCCTGTAATGTTTTCAGGGTGTCTGCTTTGACTTCAAGGTCTTTGATCCATTTGGAGTTGATTCTGGTGCAGGATGATATATAAGGATCTAGCTTTAGTTTTCTACAGGTGTTTAACCAATTTTGCCAGCACCATTTACTGAAGAGGCTGTCTTTCTTCATTCTATTTTTTTAGCCTCTTTGTCAAAGATTAGGTGGCTATAGGTCTGTGGGTTCATTTCTGGGTCTTCAGTTCTATTCTGTTGATCCTCAGGTCTGTTCTTGTGCTAGTACCAAGCTGTTTTGATTACTATGGCTTTGTAGTAGAGTTTGAAATTTGGTATTGATATTCCTCCAGCGCTGTTCTTTCTGCTAAGGTTCATTTTTGCTTTTGGGGTCTTTTATTGTTCCATATGAATTTTTAGATTGCCTCTTCTATTTCCTTGAAGAATGAGGTTGGAATATTGATAGGTATCGCATTGAATTTGTAGATAGCCCTGGGAAGTATTGCCATTTTCATGATGTTGATCCTTCCAATCCAGGAGCATGGGAGGTTTATCCACTTTCTAAGTTCTGCTTTAGTTTCCTTTTTCAGGTTTTTAAAGTTTCCATCATAGAGGTCCTTCACTTCTTTGGTTAAGTTAATTCCTAGGTATTTTATTTTTGGTGGGGCTATTACAAAAGGAGTTGCTTTCCTGATTTCAGCCGCATTCTTCTCGTTATTGGCATACAGAAAAGCCATTAATAGTTGAGGGTTAATTTTATACCTTGCTACTTTGCCAAAATTTTGAATGAGCTCCAGTAATTTGGGAGTGGAGTACGTGGGATTCTTTAAATACAAGATCATGTCATCTACAAAGAAGGAGAGTTTTACTTCATCTTTCCCTATTTGGATTCCTTTTATGTTTGCATCTTGTCTTATTGCTGTAACTAGCCATTCTAATACTAAATTGAAGAGAAGTGGAGAGAGTTGACATCCTTGTCTTGTTCCTGAGTTTAGAGGAAATGGCTTTAAGTTTTCACCATTAAGTATAATGCTGGCTGTAGGTTTGTCATATACAGCCTTTATTGTATTGAGGAATGTTCCATGGATTCCTATTTTTTTCCAGAGCCGCATCATAAAGGGGTGTTGGATCTTGTCAAATGCTTTTTTCTGCCTCTATTGAGATAACTATGTGGTTCTTATCCTTGCTCTTGTTGATGTGATGAATTATATTAATTGATTTGCATATATTGAACCAGTTTGCATCCCTGAAATGAATCCTGTTTGATTGTGGTGTATGATTTTTTTGGATGAATTGTTGAAGTAGATTAGCCAAATTTTGTTGAAAAGTTTTACATCAGTGTTCATCAAAGAAATGGGCCTATAGCTCTCTTTCTTTGATGAGTCCCTGCATGGTTTTGGGATGAGGGTTATGATGGCTTCGTAGAAAGGGTACCGTAGTGAACTTTCTCTTCCAATTTCATTGAAGAGTTGGAGGAGTATTGGTGTGAGTTCTGCTTTGAAGGCCTTGTAGAATTCCTCTGTAAATCCATCTGGTCCTGGGCTTTTCTTAGCTTGGAGGTGTCTTATTGCTGTTTCTATTTCAATGCTTGATATGGGCCTGTTAAGATGGTTTAACTCATCTTGGTTTAGTTTCAGCATGTGGATACTTGTTAGGAAATTGTCCATTTCTTCCAGATTCTCAAACTTATTAGCATACAGGTTTGAGAAGTATTCCCTTATAATGTTCTGAATCTTGGTTGTTTCTGTGGTGATGCTTCCATTCTCATCTGAGTTTGTTTATTTGATAAAATTTGCTAAGGGTCAGTCAATTTTGTTATTTTTTTTCGAAAAACCAACTCGTTGTTTTGTTGATTCTTATGTTTTTTTGGATTCTAATTTGTTTAATTTTGATTTAATTTTAATTATTTGTTTCCATCTACTGGATTGGGGTTCATCTTGCTGCTCTTTTTCAAGGGGGTTCAGATCTCTTCAATTTGTTGAGAAACTCAGAGCTATAAACTTGCTTCCGAGTACTGCCTTTGCTGTGTTCCAGAGGAGCTGGTAATTTGTGTGTTCATTTTTATTGAATATCATGAACATTTGAATTTCCTTTCTGATCTGTTCCATGACCCCTGGTGATTCAACAGTGTGTTGTTTGGCCTCTATGTGTTACAGGACTTTCTTTGTTGGCTTCTGGTGTTGATTTCTAATTTTATTCCCTTATGGTCTGAGAGAACGCAGGGCATAACTTCAATGTTTCTGAATTTGGACAAGTTTGCTTTGTGACCTAAAATGTGGTCTCTTTTGGAAAATGTTCCGTGTGCTGCTGAGAAAAACGTGTATTCTGATGCTGCTGGGTGAAATATTCAGTAGATGTTTGTTAAATCTAGTTGATCTATGGATTTGTTTAGATCTGTGGTTTCTCTGTTGAGTTTTTGCTGAGTTGATCTATCTAGTGGGTATAGTGGTGTGTTAAAGTCCCCAACAATTAATGTCTTTGGATCTATGTGAGATTGGAGGGAAAGTAGTGTTTCTTGGATAAATTTGGGTGCTCTGTTGTTTGGTGAATAGATATTTAGAACTGTAATATCCTCCTAAGGAAAGATCCTTTAATTAGTATGTATTGACCTTCTTTATCTCTTATCACTAAGTTTAACTTGAAGTCTATGATATTAGGATTGCAACTCCCACCAGTTTATGGAGGCCATTTGCTTGGTAGATTTTTTTTTGGGGGGTCTGGTTGTGGGTCCTGAACTCTGGGCCTGGGTGCTGTCCCTCAGCTCTTGAGCTCAAGGCTAGCACTCTACCACTTGAGCCATAGCGCCACTTCTGGCTTTTTTCTTTTTGCTTATGTGGTGCTGAGGAATCGAACCCAGGGCCTCAGGCATTCAAGGCAAGCTCTCTACCACTGAGTCACCTTCCCAGCCCCTGCTTGGTAGATTTTATTATAGCCTTTTCAAATTATGTTTGTTTTTATGGGCAAGGTGTGACTCTTGAAGGCAGGAGGTAGAAGGATCTTGCTTTTTAATCCAAGTAGACAGTCTGTGTCGCTTAATTGGAGAATTAATTCCATTGATATTGAGAGTTAGGACTGAGAGGTGTTTGGTAGTTCCTGCCTTGTTATCCATCTTCTTGGGGGCTGGGACAACTGGGTTCTTATGGTTTTTGGGTTTTCAGTTTGGGTGCAGTTTCTTGGCCTTTATTGTGGTCTTATTGGTTTTCTATGTGTAGGACATCTTTAAGTGTCTTTTGTAGGGTTGGTTTGGTGGAGATATATTGTTTCAGTTTTTTTTGCTATGGAAAGTTTTTATTTGACCTTCAGTTATGGAGAGTTTAGCTGGGTACAGTATTCTTGGTAGATAGTTGTTTGTCTTTAGGGCATGGCATACATCATTCCAGGCTCTTAAAAATGTGGAGCACTTCATGAATTTGGGTGTCATCCTTGTGCAGATGCCATGCTAATCTCTTTATATCATTCCAGTTTTAGTATATGTGCTGCCAAAGGGGACACTGTGTGTTAATTTTTATGGGCACTGATGGGTCTCCTTGTAACACATGGTATTAACTGAATTAATGACCAGAGTCTGGAATGTGAACTTGAATTTATCTAGTGTAAGTACCCTTGGAGAAAGACATTTATGTTCTTATAATTACACATACAAATCTTGGTGGTACCTAACTTAGTATCAGTTCATCTGGAACAGAACCCAGGTAATTTCTTTGTCCCAGATCTTCATATGGTCCTACAGGACCAGGAAGCTACTGAAGCGCTGTGACATAGTCATAGTCACCGTGTCACCAGAGGAATTGGTACGGCAGCTGTGAGCTCACAGGGCTCAGGATCTTGTCACAGCTTCCATGGACAGTCATTTTTTTTCCGTTTTTCTTCTTGAGCTCATTGCCTAATTGATGGACTCAGTGTATAATTACTCTGGGCAAGTTAGACAGAATGGGAACGCTTTTCTTGTGTGTGTCTGTGCATCTCTATGCTTTAGCTCTAGATCAGAGGGCTGCTTCTTCTTCACCCTTTATCAGAAGGACTTGTGGACTTGTGTTGATTTCTTAGCAGCACACAAACACAGTGGAATCCCTTCTAGCTTACTTATGATCAAGATTAGCATTATAGGATGGTGTGTTCTCATTCTTAGCTACCAAGGAGACAGGGAAGTTTTGTGTTTTGTTTTGTTTTTGTTTTTTTCCCCCCTTTTTCCTTGTGCTGATATCAACGGCTTGAATTCCAGGCCTGGGCCTTGTCCCTTAACTTTTTCACTCAAGGCTGGTACTCTGCCACTTGAACTTTCGGCTTTTTACTGGGTAATTAGCACTAAGAGTCCCATGGACTTCCCCACTTGGGATGCCTTTGATTCTTAGATCTCAGCCTCCTGAGGAGCTAGGATTGCAGACATGAGTTGGTGTGCCTGGCTTTTTTTTTTTTTTAACATTTAGAGAGGAATAGTTTCTCTTCTAGGCATCCTTTTCTAACTTTTCCCTTACCTCGGTTGCCTTCTACGATTGATTTATATGGTTATTTTTGGCCACTAAGTTCTGTCTTAGCCTTTAGTCTATGGGATTTATCGACTATCTGGATCTATTCATGTAGTACTAGTTAATTTTTACATGTAGTAGTTAATTGGCACATGTTAATCAATTGTCATTGCTGTATAGTATTCTGATTCATGTGTCTGAGTAATTAACAGGAATTACATTTATAGGTCATTGGGAAGGTGCATCTTCAACTTTGTGAAATTTCAAAAAACTGCCCCCGTGAAGGATATTTACTCCATTCTTCACAGAAAGAAATCTTTATAATTCCTCTTTTGATATGTCTGTTTATATTAATGTTTTAGATGTTAGATGAAAAATAGCATTTCAGCTGAACCATAAGATACCCTTTTAAGCCTTATTCGTGGCCAAGAAGCCAATTTAAAATACAGGTGGATATATAGAGTGTTCTCATTTACATAGAGTCCTAAAGGAGAGGAATTAGGTCATATTCAGTAGACTGCTCAGCGTTTCCTTTTAAATTTTTTATTGCGTTTTAACCAAAGTGTATTTCAGGTTATTTTTAGGATCTAGATGGCTCACTGTGGTGCTATCTGTTGTATGCATATTTGAGTGAATCAGTAAATGAGTAGAATTATAGAACCAAGCATAAAAACAACTAAGTGTAGTGAAAGGTTTGGGCGGAATGGGGGGTGGGGAACGGACGGGGACGATCCCTGCATGTGTCCGTAGTAAACCTGACGGGAGTCCACACTCCATGTGACACATACTTTCTGCCCTGCTTACACTGTTGTCTGGTGGATGGGTACTGTGGCCTTAGCTCTTTCTGTTTCTTTATTACCAATTCAGAGTTCAGGAGGGCCTAGTGTACTTCTCCACTGTGTCACCTGAAAAATTAACTAGTACAATGCAAATGGATCCAGATACTGTTGATGAGTCCCATAGATATAATACAAAGACAAAACCAAGTTGCCTCTGATGGCAAGATTTCTGTTTTTTGTTTTGTTTTATTTTGTTTTGTTTTTCCAGCAGACAGAGGAAGACATACTAGGGTTTCTTTCCTGCTGGCCAGTGTAAAAAGCTGGCTGTCTTAAAGTGTGTTTGTTGGCTGGCAGATACTGCTAGCATTTGTTATGGATGGTTTTTGTGCACTTCTGGTCAGGGTCTTACTGCTGAGGAATTGTTGCTGCCAGTTACCTAGAGATAATACTTAATCCTGACTAGGTACCTCATGGAATAGTATCAGTATGATTGAGTTATTTATGTTCACATTCTTGTAAAATCTTGGGACAACTGCAGTCATCATGTTACTAGAAAGAGCCATCCAGCCAGGTACTAGTGGTTTACACCGGTAGACCTAGCTAATGGAGGAGGCTGAAATCTGAGGATCATAGTTTAAAGCTAGCGTGGGCAGAAAAGTCTGTGAGACTCTATCTCCCATTGACTAGCAAAAAGCCAGCAGTGGAGCAGTGGCTCAGGTGGTAGAGCACTAGCCTTGAGAGAAATCTAAGCAAGAGTGAGAGACTCTGAGTTCAAATCCCATCACCACCTCCCCCACGGCCATCCAGAAGAGTTTTGAAAATTTTGTCTGCTAGAGCTGTTTTAGTTTGGATCTGAAATCTCCAAAGGCCCATGTGTTAAGTGCTTAATCTTGTGGCACTGTTGGGAGGTGGTGGAACCTTTAAAAGATGGGGCTTAGGAGTAGGAAGTTAGGTCACTGGGGACATGCCCTAGAAGGGAATATTGGGACCCCTAGCCCTTTCCCCTCTCTCCCCCGCCTCTCTGTTTCTGAGCCATCATGATTCATTGCCTTACCAGGCCCAAAGTAGCAGGACCAAGTGATCATGGGCCCAAACCTCCCAAACTGTGAGCCAACATAGACCTTTTCTCCTTATAAGTTGATTATTTCAGATAATTTGTTACCATAAAAGAAAGTTAACCAACATTAGTTTGCATAACAAGAGTTCCACAGACTGTGGCTTGATCAACAGAAATATATTTTCTCATGTTTCTTTACTTGAACTGATCATAGCCAAATGACTGAGATATGATATCTCATAGTTCTGGAAAAGCTGTAAGTTCAAGATCAAAGTATTTTCAGGGCTCACTGAGAGTTCAGAGGGAGAATCAGACCTTCCCCCTGTGTTTTTACATCATCTTCCCTCTACATGTCTCTCTATCCAGTTCTTCCTTTTTATATGCACACTGGTAATCCTGGATTAGAACCCAAGGTCATAATCTCATTTTAACTTACAAAATTAGACCTATGTAATGGTGCAATTTCAAAGTAAGATCAAGTAAGATCGTATACTTAAGTACCAACAGCTCTCTAGAGCTTTAATACATACATTTGATTTTTTTGGGGGAGTGGGGGAACACAATTTATCCCATTAACAGCACAGCGTAGGATTATTTGTCAGAATTATTAGAAGATGGCGAACGAGCTGGGGATTTCCTGCCACTTTGGGAGTTCAGTGTTCTAGACCTTTCCCTGCTTTGGCACATAGCTTTTTATAGCTACAGGAACTCAGTCACAGTGTAACACTTTGGACATGCTCTAGCCTGGCATGCTCACTTCCTGCCTGACTTCTCAGAACAAGTTCCAGAAATAAAGGAAGAAAAATAGATGACAGTGTCTCCAGAATTATGGATAAGTAGATGTCTCCTGGAGAGTTGATTGGCTGCAGGCTTTCCTTTTAACTGTTGTTTCCCCCATTATTTTCAACTTTATTTCAATCATCATTAAAAACTGAGAACTTTTTTTTTTTAGATTTAAAAGAAATTGTGTTTGTCATCCAGAGTCAAAGTAATTCTTATCATGCGAAGAGAGCAGAGAAATTGAGAAAAAGCATCTTAAAGCAGGCTGCCAATCTCACACAGGTATGTAGAAATGGCTTGGGGTATCTGCTGATTATGAAGTTTGTGATACATTTCTGTTTCCTAGACCAAGTTTGTAGAAAATCAGTTTTATTTAGCTGGGAATAACTCTTCTGATTCATTTTGCTTGTTTAATGTTGACTATATATGGTTGACATTGCTCTGGTTAATTCCTGGTGCTCAATGCTTCATTTTCTAAATTATTATATGTATATGTGTATTTGCGTTTTTAATTCTAAATTATTATATGTATATGTGTATTTGCGTTTTTAATTTAAGATGATTATGTACTTGTGTAGAATTGTGGTGGCTTTGTTATAATAAAAAAGAAGTAGAAGAACCAGATATGGTGGTGCAGGCTTGTACTCATAGCACTTGGGAGACTAAGAGGATTTGAAGTTCAAGACCATCCTAGGCTTTATAAGAGGCTATGTCTCAAAAATATGTAAGTAAAAAAGTGGAAGAAATAGCTTTTTAAGGGAAAAGTTTAAACTAATAGAAGTAATTAATATTCAAATTTTTTGTAGCAAGTTCTAAGGCAATTTTTATGTTGAAATATCATTTTCATTAATCTCACTGTGCAATGATTCCTCTCTGAGTTTCTTAATCTGTTTTTTAATTAGATGTCATTAATTTAATTTAGGATTTGATTTATAATGTAATATCCCAGAAGGATGGTATAGAGAAAAAAATCTATGCATACAGGTGCATTTTAATGACACTTAAAATAGGGTATGAGCTACATCTGAAGTTGGTCTGAATAATGCTGTAGGCTTGAAGTGAAGGAAGATCTACTTCCTTGTCTCTCTTCCTCTTCTCTCCCCTCCCCCCTCTTCCCCTCTGCCACTCTTCTCTTCTTCTTCTTTTCCACTCTTCTTTTCTCCTCTCTCTCCTCCACCCTTATTCTTTCTTTTCCCTTCTTGCTACCCCTTTCCTCCCCTCTTTCCTCTCTCTCTCTTTTCTTTATTTGAGGCAGGGTCTCATTATGTAGCCTAGGCCAGTCTTGAACTCAAGATCCTCTTGCCTTCTTGGCTTCTGAGTTGGGAGTTAGGTTTGAGTTACCCTGCCCAGGCAGGATCTATGTTGTTGTTAAGCATTCTTTCTATTTTCAGGGGATATGTATTAGGACTGTCTCAGTAGAAGCCTGAATTTTATAACTATGTTTTTCCTATGCATACATATCCATGATAATGTTTAAGTTATAAATTATGATTAAGAGATTAATAACAATGACTAATTATAGTCATGTTTTATAGTAAAATTAGCTGCCCTGACTCCTTCTTTGGTATTTGGGGGCCATTATTAGTAAAGTCAGAGTTACTTAAACACAAGTCCTGAAGGACAACACTTGATCCATTAAGGATGTTGGATATTGATGCAGGTTATATGATGTAACTTCATGGGTGAGTAGCATATGCAGAAAGCATGTGCTGGATAGGGTGGTCACTAATGTCCTGGGCAGGACAGAGCAAGACAGCACAGGATTTCATCATACCATTCAGAATAGTGCACATTTTATATAAATTATTTATGAAATATTCCATTAAATACTTTCAAATTACAGTTGATTTTGGGTAACTGGAGATCATAAGTACTGTTGGTACTTTGTTTAGCTAATTTAATAAGCTTTCTTCCTGAACTCTGCACTAAATTCTATAGCTTCAAGACAGACTGCTCATTTTTAATAAAGTCTGTTTCTCATTTCTTTTGGGAGATTTGTGTGTGTGTGTGTGTGTGTGTGTGTGTGTGTGTGTGTCTTGGTTCTTGAACTCAGGGCCTGGGCACTTTCCCTGAGCTTTTGTGCTCAAGGCTAGAGATCATTTTGAGCCACAGCTCCATGTTAGCATTTTTTTTTAGTAGTTAGAGATAAGGGCCTCAGGGGCCTTTTTTGCTCAGGCTGGCTTTGAACTGCCGTCCTCAGATCCCAGCCTCCCAAGTAGCTAGGATTACAGGCGTGAACCACTGATACCCGGCTAGGAGATAACTTTCTGACAAGAGATGTGTGTAGTTGACAGTTTGGTTTCTTTTTGCTGGTAGGGTAGGAAAATAAAGGGTCAGAAACATCAATGGAAATAAGCAGCATTAGTGATTTTTGAGGTTAGACATCGTAAGGTTTACTGTATTTCATCTGTTTTTTGTTGTTGTTGTTTTGTTTTATTTACTTGTGCTGGTACTCAGGACCAGTGATCTTTCCTTTAGCCTTGTTTCTGCTCAAGATTGGTGTTGTACCACTTAAGCCATAGCTCCATTTCTAGCTTTTTGGTGGTAAATTGGGAATAAGAGTCTTGAGTACTTTTCCTCCCCAGGCTGGCTTTGAATCATGATCTAAAGATCCCAGTCTCTTGAGTAGCTAAGATTACAGGCATGACCCACTAATACCCAGAATGAGTCTTTTTTATTTCTCTTATGTGCGCGTGCGCGCACACACACACACACACACACACACACACACACACACACACACACACGTGTGCATGCCCATCCATACTCTGAATTTTATCCCAAGTTCTCTGAAGGCACATGCAGCTTTCTGTGTTTCCATAGTACCTTACACATAGTGGATATTCATCATAGCACATTTGGATTCGGGGCATTTAACAACATGAAAACTGAAGTAAATTATTTTATCTGCTTTATTTTTGTTGATTCTTAAGTTGATAATAGCCAGTTCTTACCCTATTAAATATAACAGCTTCTCAGTGAAGCCATGGTTTATGGACAAAACATAGAAAAGTAATGTATGAGAATCAACACTAGGGAAATATGATCTCATGATTAAATTGATCTTTGAGAGACAATGTAGAAAAGAACCAAACAATTCCCTTGGCTGCTTTAACACAGACAACAATAGCTCAAGGATGGTGTAAAGTTTTATTTCCCTTTGGTCAACATCCAGTTAGTTGGTGGGTGGGCAAGGGCTAGGCAACTCTGCTCCAGCCTCTTGTCTCATTATATAGGTGGGGTGTCTTACTTGTGTGGTAGAAGATGACCTACACTCTGCATCTCAGAGTATGGAGCACAAGAAGCTTTATTGTAAGGTTGTGACATTAAAGTTTTGTATGTCGTGTCCTTTATGTGCCCTTGTCCGGAACATAATCAAGTGGGCACATCTAATGTAATGTGTAATGGAAATGTAATGTCTCCTGGGGTGGCCTTGGGTCTAGCCAGAATTCAATAGGTTCTAATCACTAAAAGGAAAATCCATTTGAAGTATTGACCTTGGGGGCACAAACTGATGTCCCTGTCAAAGTCAGGATTTAGTTTGTACATCAAGGACTCACATAGTGTGTAGAAGAATGTATCTGAGCCTCTCATTCATTCATTCATCCATCCATCCATTCATCATGTAATATTTACTTACTGTGGGTAATATTGTACATGCAAAGATCAGCAAGACATAGCCCACAAAAGGAGAGACAAATGAAAAGGACAGGACTCAGACCTGTCGCGAGGAAACTTGTTGTTTTTTGTTCTTTGTTCTTTGTTGTTGTTGTTAATGTACTATGTGAGTTCTTGTTTCTTTTGTATTTTTTCCCCTATGGTTTATACCCTTTTGTCATTGTATTTCATTTTGGTCCCCTGTGTATTGTATCTGAATCTGAATTAGGGAAGGGAAGGGGAACAACAAAATGGTGAGACAAAGGAACAAAGGGGGAACCAATGCACCAAGATACAAGATAATAGGTTGGAAATGATCTGTATAACTGGGTGGTGGGGGGGTGGGGGCAATGGGAGAAAAATGAGGGAGGGGATAGCAAGAAATGTACTCACTACTTATGTAACTGTAACCCCTCTGTACATCACCTTGACAATAACATTTTTTTTTAATTAAAAAAAAGGCACTTTGAAAGACAGGTGAGAGTACAGTGGTAGAATGGAGCCCAAGTCTAGGAGGGGATATGGTGCTCTGGGAGGGATTTCTGCATACTAGGCACCCATTAGGTAAGTTGAGGCTGGTAGAAGGGAGATCATCCTAGGGAGAAGGACAGTGGGTTATGGCAGCCAGGTGAGAGGCAGGGACTTGTGGGAAGACAGCCAGCAGGGAAAGGTAGGTAGAGACAGAGTACAGAGGAAGTGTATGTCCTCTGGGGAGCCAGGGCTTTCTTGGGGCTTCTCAGAGGCCATGCTGACAATTATCAACAGTTATCTCATCAATATACCAGCTGGACCCTGGAAGTACATGCAGGTATGACCAGTCACTGTTGGCAGCTAATGGTGGCCCCTGCTTGATGCTTATTGCTATAGATACCTACTGGGACTGGCATTTTAGAGTCAGCCCCCATTTTAGAATCAGTTATGGGAGGACCACATCAAGACAAGGGCCAGGGCCCTTGCTTCATTCTGGGGGTGTGGTATGTGGATGGACTTCTCCTATCAGTAGCAGACAATAGTGGGCCCTCCCCACGAGCAGTGGAGAAGCCCTAGATAAAGCCAGGGGAGGTGTGGAGGGAATGTGGGACCGAAGTGCCATGATCTGGATGTGGGATAAAGCAGGAAGCCCCCCCACCCCAGCCGAGACTTAGCAGAGGTGTTGTGACTAGGTGAGTCTGAGGACATTTACGATACAACTGACTTCAGGTTCTTCCAAGTCTTACCTGGGTGGCCATGCCAGCAGCTGGAAGCTGGGTATTTGTTTGAAACTCAGGAGGAAGGTTTGGAAAGACCATGCATCTGAGTATTAGAAGCACATGGGTGGTAACCCAGAAATTTACAGTGCTGTTTCCTGAGATTGCAGAGGTCTGGGATGACCGGGGGCCCGGAGTCAAGGAAGCCCTCTGGGGAGTCTGAGGGCTAGAGGGAGGTAGAAGAAAGACGGGTGGCTTGTGATGCTAGAAACACCAGGAACAACGTTACCTGACATGAGCAGTTCTGGGTTGCTCTTCAGAACCCTGTGAGAGTCCCTGACAGGACCCTCTGCTGCCATTTCTGCCCTACATCCACCCCCACAAGCCTCCCACTGGGGATTTGGGGAAGCTGGTTTTTGTTACTGTCATTTATCTTTT